TCCCTCCCTCCCTCCCTTCCTCCCTTCCTTCCTTCTTTTTGTACAATTCCAATGTGCAACCATTGTCACTAATTTTGGACAATTTTCATCAACCTAAAAAGAAACGCTGTATCTATTGGCATCCACTCCCCATTCTTCTCTTGCCCTAAACTCCTGGCAACCACTAATCTACTTTCTGATTCTATGGGTTTGCCTGTTCTGGACAATTGAAGGGCCTGGGAAGCTGGTGGGTGCTCTAGGAAGTGCAGAGGTGCTATAGGCCTGACCACAGCATCAGTCCTGAGTCCACAGAGTGAGGCAGAGCCCTAGGGTAAAGACTGCCCCATAGGTAGGTGACCATGGAATTTATCATTTTGAGAGGAGAAGGGGTGCTACTAAATATTGTGACAACAGGCATAAAGAGGAATGCACGGTCACCTTGTCAGAATGGAAAGAGCTCTGAATCTGGAACCAAAGGCCAAGGCTGATTTAGAGCTCTGCCCACTCACAAGCTGGATTAGCTGGACTATTCAGCCTCTGAGCCTCCATTTTCTTGTCTGGAAGTGAAAGTTCCCAGGCTTACTTGGGCTACAGCTCTTTGTGAATACCAAGAATATGGGATCATTATGGACGGTGGGGGTTCTGTGAATCAATTCTATGTATTGCAGATCATGCAGTTTGATCTGTTTTAAATAATACTTTAACAAGACTGAGAATATTTGCATATGTGTTACTCAAGACAAAAAAGGGTATGTTTAAGTTTCAAGATAGGTTTCCAGTTAAGTGAAGTGTGACCCCTTAAAGTGACCTGGGTCCTTCACAGGTGTCAGGAAGAAGTTGGAAAATCCGACGATGTGCTGTAGAGAAGCTTTTTTTTTTCTTTTGAAATTTTTGATATCTTTTTCATATTTTCGTAGTAGCTTTATTAAGATGTAATCCACATACCATACAGTTCACCGATTTAAAAGTGTACAATACAGTGTTTTTTAGTATACTCAGATTTGTGCAACCATCATTACAATTAATTTTAGAATATTTTTATCTCTCCAAAAAGAAGCCCTGTACCCTTTAGCAATTACACCCCTCTTCCTCCATACCCGCCAGTACTAGACAACCACTAATCCCTGATCTATTTTCTGTCTCTATAGACTTGGTGGGGATGCTTTTTAAACTGTTTTTCACCACCCTGTGATGCCTGAGGAGCGCCACACTGAAAACTTTTGTCTTAAAAAATCTCTTATTTTTGTTTTTATTCTTCCCATCCTCTTCTTCTACTCTCATGCATGACATGAAAAGTTCTCTTCAGGAGGAGGCTATGGCTATACACAAACATTAGATGGATGATTGGACTAGGTGACTTCCAAAGTATAGTAGACCAGTATTTGGGTAGTAAATAGCTTGCTGCTGCTTATTGCCACTAGGTGGTGCTGCTGCTGCATCACAACTGACCCCCACCAGGGTAGCCTTAGGGCTTCCCAGTTGTAGGGGAATTCATCTCCTTGCCTGTGATAAGGGCTGGACACCAGGAGTGACCCAGAAAACAGGAGGATATACCTGGAAGACAAAATAGGCACCCAGAGCAGAGGACGTTTGACTGTGAGTAATACTGTAATAATAATAAAGGTGGCAGCAGTAATCATAGCAACCATTTATTGAGCATGGTGGATATTCTGGTATCCACAAACATACATCATATTCACTTTACATACATCATCTCTAATCTTCACACTCAGCAAGGCATGTGTATGTATTATATCTGCATTACAAAACAGGAAAAGCTAAGGTTCAAGAAGATAAATGACTAACTGGAGGTCTCATGGCTATGAATCAAATACAGGTCTGGGGCACCAGGGCCCCTATCCTTCTGAGTACACACCACTGCTTTGAAATCTGCAGAAGACCAGGACACTGGCCCCCAGAGCATGGCAGAGGGGGAGTGTCCAGTGGAGACATCTGGGGAGGGCCCAGAGCCTGGGCACACTATCAGCTGACATCTAGGAAGGAATGAACAGAGAATGGAGGGGGAAGAGCCAAGGCACAGAGGCCAATGCTGTTAGACCAGTGGAGACCACAGCCGAGGGGGACCCAGATCTACCCTTGATGCTGATAATGTTCTCTGGGAAGCAAAAACTATCATCACATATGCTCTAAAACTGGATTGTGGTAATGGTGGCACAACTGTATAAATTTACTAAGAATCATCAAACTGGTCCCTTACAATAGGTGAACTGCATGGTACATAAATTACACCTCAATAAAGCTATACATTCATTATCATGAAACCAGTAGTGATGAGGATGCTGAGTAAGTAGGTCTCAAAAGTGCTGTAGGCACTTAGAGGAGAGAAGGAGGGTAGCATCTCAGAACAGAAAGCCTGACTGATGGCTGTCCAGCCTCTGCCCGAGTACTTTCGGTGCCAGGGAGCTTGGTACCTCAAAAAGCAGCCCATTCCAGTTTGGGATAACTCTTTCTAATCCTCATGTTGAAATCTATTACTTGTTCTTATCCTGCTGTGCAAAATAAACCTCTTTGCTTTGCCATGTATTTCTTTGAGAACTTGAGGACAGTCATTGCATTCTTTTAAGTTAT